TCGTGGTGGGGCCTGAGGGGCCAGACTCTTTAGGATACAACCAAGTCTAGACTTGGAAGATGTCCCAAGGTCATCATGATAAATGTTTTCCAAAATTTGTCAAAGAGAACAGCTATGGGAAAACCACTGAGCGCACAATTACAACTACAATTGGACCAAATGTTCAATCCTGTAAGAATAGCTGTGGGTCGATATTCAAGTCCTTTACCCTGTGGTATTTAACAATTCTCTATTGCTTCAAATGCCATATGCTGAATTTGGGGAGGGAAAGAGGAAGAATTGGTGAAGGCATCAATAGAAGCTAGTAAAGAAAATAGTTTATTTCACATTGATAACCACATTTCACAATCATGTAAAACTTTAGATGCTAATCATTTGCTAGACAATTAAGTTTGTTTTTTAAAAAAAATTTTTGCTTTTATTCCTGGAAATCACTTGACAATCCAACCTGTGGCTCAAAAGGAGAGGCTCCTTAGCCAAGAATGAAATGGTAGAAAACAGTTTTTCATCGTTCCCAGTAACAATGAGCATAAAGTAATGTGTGAAAGATCGCACTTTGGTGATTAAGAAGCTAGGTCCTGGTGCTGGGAGTTGAAGTGAGCTCTTCTCTCAAGGGCTTTGAGGACATCTCTCCAGGAACTGACCTGGCCACGTGGCCTCCATCATTTAACAGAACTTACTGGGTGACTACAGCCAGGCGACCAGACTGGCTGACACATCAGGAAGAAGTAGCATTTAGAAGCTATCTCCTCCTGTGAAAATATAATGTAACCATTCAGTAAGAATACAAATGTACAGCCTGTATTGTACATAACAATTCAAACACAGGACTGGTGCTCAATTCGGATGTGATTTTTTAGCCAATTCCAGTCTGGCAACCAGAGAGAAAGACTCGTTACAAAGGAGCATTTTCTTGGGAACAGAGGAGGAAGTTTAGACCTGAACTGAAGGAAAATAATTCAGGAACTTCTTCATGCATAGGCCTCAAAATATCTAAATACAGATGGAGTTAGAATTTTTAAAAATGTTAATGCCATTCATTTTTGATATGTGTGTTTATAATATCAATAAGGATAGCGATTGTTCTTATGTAGTAATTCTGTTTGTATTATTTACTACTGTGAAGAGATGTTTTACATTTGGAAAGAACTTTCTAATCTCTTTGAAATTAAAAACTTAAATCATTGTATGTAAAATGATGAAAATGACCGAATGGGTTTAGAATTTAGACTGAACCATATCATGCACAGTTTTATGGCTTACAGCTGAAACACTATTATTATTGGCAGGGAAATTTATGTTCTATTTTAGTAGTTATGATTCCACAGATCAGGATGAGGAGAAGCTGTGAATTTCTAGCAGAAGGGAGGAGGTAGCCATAGTCACAGGAAATCATCTACTTTGGTTTTGTGGGAAATGAAATTCTTACTTTGTCCGTGAATCCTCTCCTTTGTTCAAAGTACACTCACAGCTACTGTCTGACACTATTAGTTCCTATGCATCTACATGTCTGTGTGTGCTATAGTTTGGCATCGCTTGTTTTATGTGGAATAGTCAAGAATATGTTTGTGCCTTATTAAATTAATGCAGTTTTTTAAAGGGAAGCAAATAACGGAAGCAAATTATTCACATGTTTTTGTTGCAATGAGCTAGATGATTTAAGCCTAAGTTAACTAATTACTTCAATTTGCTTCTTCCCATTAGTTGGATAGGCTACATTTCTGTTTCAAATGCACTGCATTTACCTTCTTGGAAAGTTGCCTCCATGAAGGATCTCTAATCTTCAGTTCCTATTTCACTTCCCATTTACCATTTCATTCTGAGGAACGAAGACTTTAATAACTGTTTCCACAGTTACAAGCCTCAAGTTAATCATGGCCTTGGGAATTGAGTTCTCAAATGTGTACACAACCCTCTTGACTCTCCCTTCCCAGAGTGGACCATTGGCTCCCAATCCTGCCTCTAGGGATTAACAGCACTGCCTCCCTCCTCACCTGCCTGACAAACACTGCGGCCCAGCCAGAGTTCTGTGCTGCAACTACAGCAAGCCAGCTGAGAGAAATGACTAAGGAGAGAAGGCAGCGGGATGGTGGGGCAGGAGGAAGGTAACAGGAAGCAGAGGAAAGATGTAGGAAGCAAAGCTGTGGGTGGAGGTATAAACATCGGTGTGCACTTATGCAAATATATTCATAAAAATAGAGGTAGTGGCCTACGTACATATATTTATATAGTAAGACACTGAGGAAGTAGATGGACTTCGGACCTCTGTTCAAGCCCTTCCTCAATGCAAGAGCACTTTGTTCTAACAACAGTCGTAAAGGCTTGAAGGTAAACAAGCGGCCATCTAGCAGAGAAGCAACCAGCCCACATGGAAGAAGCACACCAGCCTGTGTGATCACAAGGCATTGACAGGATCAGGTAACAGGTATCAGAAGACCCAAACAAAACAATAAACCATATTGTTGAGAACAAGGGGGCTGGGAGCAGAGACCCAAAAGTCATCTGTGGACAATAGAACATCCCCTCACAGAAGGGTCACAAGAACGGCATGAGTTGACCAGGGCACAGTATAGCACCAAGGAGGCACACAATGTTCCTCTGGTTCTTTGAGGCTTCCTCACCCCCCACTATCATGACCCCAGTCCTGCCTTTCAGTTCTGGCTAGACCGGAGCATGTGCACTGGTACAGAGAAGAGCTCACGAGACACGGAATCTAGGTCAAACAAACCCCTCCAGAAGAGAAATGGGAGTCGCTAGCAATACAAGGAAGGTAGGGGGAACCGATCGCAATGATCTGCGCATAACCACCCCCAGCCCCCCACGGGAACGAACAGCAGAAATGTGGGTGAAGGGAGACAGAGGTCTGTGTAAGATATAAAAATAATGATTTATAATTTACCAAGGGGGGATATGAGGAGGAAGGGAGAAAAGAGGAGCTAATAACAAGTGCTCAAAGAGAAAGTAAATGTTTAGAAAATGATGATGGCAACATATGTACAAATGTACTTGACACAATGGATATATGTGTGGATTGTGATAAGAGCTGTAAAGAGCCGCCAATAAAATGATCTTTAAGGAAAAACAAACTGAGGAACCCATCCTTGGCCTCGCCAAAGAAGAGGGTGAAACAGAGACTCCAGTACACGGTCCCATACCAAATGGCACGATCCCAACTTCAAAACCTGAAAGCAGGCTGGGGGTCAAAGGCAAGCTCTGTTTCTCAGAGCCGCCGGGCAGACTGGGTTTTTCTAATCTCCTGGGTTTGCAGGTAAGATACATAAGGCATCCTTCAAAGTTTAATGTGTTTCTCATTGATGCATTTCCAAACCCCCATCCTTCTGGGTTGAACCCAAGCTTACTTTCTGCATTAAATTATCTTGTTATCTATGGAAGCATTTTTAAGACTACAGAACTGGACAGCGAATAATATAATAAACAATCGTATCCTATCGGATTAATTTTATTTCACAAAAGGCATTACTGATAGGATTTATGTAGCTACAGCATCTATTCCAACATAGTTTTCCTTTGCCCCTTTTCAGGATCCCTATTCCCTAGTGTTGACTGTTAGTGAGTTTCTCAAAGTTCTGCTCTTTTCTGGCTCCCTTTCCTTTTTTTCCTTTTTTCGTCAGACCTTAGCCGCAGCTCCATGCCTAAGCCCCGCAGCGCTCGCCTAAGGTTCACGTGCGAAACCCTGGTGAAACTCTGGGCTGTGAACTGTAAGGTTGGCCCCTCAAAACTGCCAGCCGCTCCGCAAGAGGAAAATGAGGCTCTCCACTCCCTTCAATGTCGGCAGTCCCGGAGGCCCAGGGGCGCATCTGCTCTGTCTCGTGGGGCCTCTCTGAGGCGGGGTTAACTTGCTGGCAGCGAGAAGACGTGGACAGCCCGAAGCTCCCGTGGCTTCTGCCCTCTTTCCTGGAAAGCATTTCATTTGTTTGGACTTCACCCCACCCTCTGATTCCGGAAACCCCAAACATTTGCTCCCCTCACTGATTGATGCCAATTTATATTGCCTAAATGTAGAGAGGGTGTACTATTTCCCAACAAGACTATCAATCCCCAAGTTAGTATCAGCCCCTTTGAGAGGAAACTGGAAGTCCCATTCAGACTTTTTACTCCCTATCTTACACTGGTAAACAAATCATCAGAGTATGTAGAAATATGCCTCATGTTACAGAACAGGAAGTATTGCAGTCTTTCGGCAGTTATTGATTACCTACTATGGTCAAGGTAGTGAATTAAGCATTCTAAGACTATAAGAAATACATGATCTACCTCAAAGATGATGGTGCTGTTGTAGAATCATAAAGCAAATTGTTTCACAGTTTAAAGATAGTCGTAAAACTCATGTCTCAACTTAAGGCTGTGTCATTAATATTGTAATTTTGTTTCTATCTTAGATATTTTTAAACGTTTAATTGCTATTATTTTCTCCAGAGCAAGCCTGACCATTAAGCGTTTGCCCAAATTTCTGAATAAGAATTATCACCTTCACCCAAACCATCAGTATCATTGCCATCTTCTTTGCAAATGCATTATTCTACCTTATTCTTTTGCCTTGCACTGAAAGTGGGTCCTTATATAGAGAAACTGTCATGATTCATGATTTGGGACTTACACATGCTGTATGTGATCACAAACTAAAAATGTCCTTTGGCTTGGATTACCGACATACATACGCTTGGACGATGACATCATTCTATCATTGGGACTGAAACATAAAGCAAAATAGATGAACACACATTTCAGTGAGATTCTTCAGAAACCTGTCATTGCTTGGTGTCATCAAACATGATTAGGCAGATATATGATCTATAGGACACCACTTTTTTACTCACTTCTAATTTTCCCATAAGATGTGTGTTTAATTTTATGTCCATTCAAATGTCACATGAATGTGAGCCACAAAATTTGTTGTGGCAAGTCCCCAATCAGAAAGTGAGTGAGCCAACCTAAAAACTTAATATAAAATGGATATCTCTTATTCTTTACTTTTCCAGACACTTCAAATGGATGTAAGTAAGCTGAATATAACCCTGCTTCGAACATTTCGCCAAGGAGTGGCTGCAGCCTTGGGACTCTTACCTCAACAAGTGCATATCAATCGTCTCCTTGTAAGACATCTAAATTTCACATTATGGAGTACGAGTTTTGTTTTCACTATTTAAGGGTTCATGCTATAGTTCGAAGAGGAGCCCTAGTGGCGTAGTGGAAGCACCTTGGGTTGATAACCGCAAGGTCAGCAGTTTGAAACCACCAGCTACACAGCAAGAAAAAGATAAGGCTATTTACCCCATGAAGAGTCAACCATTTCACAAGAGAAAAGATTGGACAATCTATTCCTGTAACAATTATTTTTTAAAAAAAACCTCACTGACAAAGAGTCCATTCCAACTCACAGCAGCTTTACAAGACAGTAGAACTGCCTCTGTGGGTTTCAAAGACTGTAACTCTTTACAGGAGTAAAAAGCCAAGTCTTTCTCTCTCAGAGTAGCTAGCGGTTTTGAACTGGTGACCTTGTGGTAGAGACTACAGCCTAAGAAACTCTTTGAAACATTTCTACCCTATCACATAGGGTCACTATGAGTCACACTCAACAACATAGAAGAGAAAGTACAGTACTAATATCCTGTAAGACTGAAGTTGTTTATGTCCTGGTCTTGCTTGCGCAAGTAAAAACACTTAGTTATCATAGATCTAGATCTAAATATTTGACGTCTAAAAAAAAAAAAAAAATTTGACGTCTACAAGAAAACTTAGGCCTACTTTTGTGAATACAGATTTAATGAGTAGATAGCTTTGGGCAGGGATAAACGAGGGATTTGCCACACAGATGGGGGAAATACATACCCTCAGAGAATATTAGTAACAGTATTTGCATGTTTCTTTCTGAAAGTAGGCGTTGTAATCAATAGAGTTGGGATGATGTGTGAGGCAGTCCAACACAGGGATAACTCCAGGCTCATTGGAGACAGACAGACCCAACTCTAATCCCAACTGTGTCATGTTCCAGTGCTGTGACATCAGGCAAACTACTAGCATTTCTCCATTTGTAAAATGAAAATAACAAGAATATCTCTTTTATTAGGGTGTTCAATGATGCATGGATTTAAGGTCCATAGTAGTGCACCAGGCACACAATATGGACTCTGTTCCTTCTCTTGTTATGCTTAGGTCATACACTATTTGAACTGTTATAAGTGGATTTCACATCAGCAGTATCCTATATTTCTGCAAACAGAAAGCTTTTGTTGTGGAATAGTAGCAATACATTGATATTCCATTGTTTCCTTGGCTGAGCTTCTGGCAAATTGCATTCAGAGAAAATCTAGCATGAAAGAACCTCGTGTGCCAGAAAAAAAATGACTAACAATGATTTATTTCTATAAGTGCACTGTTAAAGTTCTGAAAGAAAATATCAATGTCAATGTTGATGAGGTTTTTCCAGTTGGTGTGTGTGTGTGTGTGTGTGTGTGTGTGTGTACAGACAAAAGGAGAGATCAATTATTGATGATAAAAATTGTGTCAAAAAAGTATGTCTCCATTTCAGCTAATGGGGCAAATGAATTGAGAAGTGTCATTATATAATATAAGTATTTCTCTCCATGGATAGATTTTTAACCATGTGACATATTTGAGGTAAAAAGCAAAAAATTATCAATCAAGGGAAAGAAGATCAATGATCCTTTAAAAACCCATATGTATGAAACCCTAGGGCCAATGTTTCAATGTTTTCTTTAAAGCAAAAATGAGAAGCTAAAGAGCCAGGGAAACTGTAATATCAGAAACGAAACAACCAGAACACAAATGAGGATGTTGTTGGCACATTGTGCAAAATCTAACGACTGCGAAATTTAAATAAGAACCTAATTTCCTGTGTAAACTTGCTCCAATAAAATAGTTTCAAAATAATAAATAAAAAGAGACCACAAAGTGCATCAAACACTTTCTTCCCTGGCCATTCCAGCCTTCATGTTAATACATGTTAGAAGAAATCATCTGGAATAGGACATGGAATGCTGATGTCTAATAATTATCTTATTTTGCTTTATCGACTTGATTTTTAAATGATTCTTTAAGAAGCATTTCGTAAGGAAACATCTGAACAAAATAGTCTTTCAAAATATGTGAAATGGAATAGAAAATAGGCAAGGGAATAAGAAGCTATAAATTTTGAGGTGCCAAAATTCAAAGAAGGTTATTTGAATTTTTCAAGTGCTGTACTTGTAGTTAAGTGTACCAAAGAATAGCAAATAAATGTGAAGTTAAAAGTCTTCCAGGATTCATTTCAGGATTCCAATCTTCCTAGAGGGTAGGAAGGTTGTTTAGAATGTTTTTATAATATATGTTAATCATCTGCTTTTATCAGGAAAAGAAGAACAGTATTGAAATATTTGTGTCTCCAGTAAGTCGAAAAACAGGAATTTCTGACATTTTGCCATCTGAAGAAGTGCTCCGTTCACTTAATACCAATGTTTTGCATCAAAGTTTATCCCAATTTGGAATTACAGAAATCTCCCCTGAGGTATGTTGTTGCATGGAATATTTCATTTTAAATCCTGCCCATTCAGGACAAGATAGTAGGCTAACTCAAAGGGGCCTTGAGATTGAAATTGCTCATTATAATGTTATTTGATAATAAAAAAAAGTCTCCCCATGGATCAGATTCTTTGAGCTGCATATTGTTTACCTCTCAGGAGGGTTTCATTTTCACATCAAAGTTTCACGGATGCTTTTTCTCCACATCTGTGGTCTCTTAGCTACTTATTCAATAAATGATTGAGGAAGACCATCCAGTTGATTTGCTGATTGTTGATGTGTCAAAAGAAAAAAGCTCAAATCTTTCTCCCTATATGGTTGCCTTCACTTTCACAGTGCTCACCCTACTCACCTCGCTCCTCAACTCGAGGAGTGCTGGCTCAAGAGTTAAGATACTAGTGGAAAGGCTGGCAGTTTGAACCCACCCATTGGTTCCACAGGACCCGCTCCGACAAAGATTAGCCTAGAAAATGTTATGCAATGGTTCTACTCTGTCTGGTACTGCCTTAGGAGGAAATCAGTTGGATAACACCTGGCAACAGCCACACCCACAGCCACCATGTGGGGCGTAGTTCCAGTGTGGTTATCTTTTCCAGGAGCCCAACCTTGAAAACGTGGGGTAGCTTTCATCACAGTGTTTCCCGGATTGGGGTCCCCCCCCTGGACAATCTATTCC